CTCGCACCTCGCACCTCGCACCTCGCTCCTCCCTCGACCTCGCCCCTCACTCTTCTGACTTCGCTTTACGGTCTCAGATGCTTCACTGAAGAGCGTCGGCAGCAGCACTGTGTCACCCTCTTCACTCTCTTTCCCCCTTACCTGCTTCACAGCTCCTCCCTTTCGAGTTTCCCTCCTTACGCGCATTCTGCCAAGAAGTTTTGGGTCGTTGCGAGTGCTTTTTTGGCTGCGCAGATTGAGCAGCACACTGCTCGGCAGTGATAACCGCAAGCCACGGCTCAGCCCGCCGCCATCAGGGCTCGGAATTGCTCATAAGCAGGCGATTGCAGACGCCCACTCCCACTCTGCTCTCCCCCTCCCCTTGTCTGCACATCGACCATCTCCCTTCCCTCTCCTCTCACTCCTCATCCTCTTCATCCCCCACTTCATTTCGGCCCCTCTCAACCCTAACAAAACCACATTGTTTACCGCTCATCACCCTCGCGCAATCCCACCTTCGAACTTACCGCGATGGTGAATGCGACTGTCGCCCCAGAGGGCATCTACACAACGTGAGTAACATCTCCATGGCGTCAAACTTCCTGACGCGAAGGTACCTCGAGACACGCTCTTTGCAACATCTGACATTGGTCGCGTATCCGATGCCTGACTTGCAGTGCCGATGGGCAGGAGTATCTCTACAATGTCGGAGACATCTCGTGGGTCCTCACATCAAGCGCTCTGGTCTTCATCATGATTCCCGGTCTGGGCTTCTTCTACTCGGGTCTGCTGCGCAAGAGAAGTGCTTTGAGTATGATCTGGATGTCCATGGCGGTCTTGTGAGTGCAGTTGGCCTACCGATTGGAGCACTGGATCGCCTAGTTCTAATCCGCCGTTACACGCATTTCCCTCTGTAGTGCTGTCGTTTTCTTCGAATGGTTCTTCTGGGGCTTCTCGCTCGCCTTCTCCAAGACCGGCTCGCCCTTCATTGGTAACTTGGACCACTTTGGCTTCATGGGTGTCGACATTGGACCCTCGACCGGCTCCGATTTCATGCCCCAGTTGGTGTACGCATTCTACCAGGCCATGTTCGCGTGCATCACGCCAGTGATTGCTTGCGGTGCTTTTGCAGACCGGGCTAGGCTCGGACCCGTTCTTCTCTTTGCCTTCTGCTGGGCTACCATTGTCTACAACCCTCTGGCATGCTGGACCTGGAACCTGTCTTCCGGCTGGCTTGCAAGCTTGGGCGCCCTCGACTTTGCGGGAGGAACACCCGTCCACATTTCCTCCGGAACAGCCGCATTCGCGATCTCCCTATTCCTCGGCCGCAGAAAAGGGTACGGCACGGACGCCCTCGCCTACAGGCCTCACAACGTCGCCAACGTCATCCTCGGCACCGTCTTCCTGTTCTTCGGCTGGTTCGGTTTCAACGGCGGTAGCGCTCTTGGTGCTAACCTGCGCGCAGCAATGGCCAGCACTGTCACTGCCCTGTCCGCCTCCGTCGCCGGATTGACTTGGATGCTGCTGGACTGGCGCCTCGAGCGCAAGTGGTCCGCTGTGGGTCTCTGCAGTGGTATCATCTCTGGTCTCGTCGCCATCACTCCCGCTTCTGGATATGTCGGCGCTCCCGCTGCCGTCGCCATCGGCTTTGTGGGCGCAGTCTGCTGCAACTTTGCAACCAGTTTCAAGGGCCTTGTCGGTGTTGACGATGCGCTCGACATCTTCGCTGCCCACGGTGTGGGAGGCTTTGTAGGTGACATCCTCACTGCTTTCTTCGCCGACAGCCGAGTCGCTTCATTCGACGGCTCTGCCCCCATCGACGGGTGAGTATGCGAAGAGTGCACATGACGCATGCTTGTGGCCCGAGCTGAACTTTCAATTTTGCTCTCATTCAGTGGATGGATCAACCGTAACTGGATCCAGCTCGGATATCAACTTGCTGATGCGACGGCAGGAATGGCGTACAGCTTCGTCGTCACTCTGATCCTCCTCTTCCTCATCGACCGCATTCCTGGTTGCCACTTCCGCGCTTCTGAGGAGGCCGAGGTCATTGGTGTCGACCTCGACCAGATCGGAGAAGAGGCCATTGTGTTCCCAGCCAACCACAGCCCTTACTCTGATGATGTGGAGCGCGCAGAGTCCAACACTCCTCACGGCAGCACGTACAAGGCCGACGAGAAGCCCTCTGCGCAGCCTCAAGGCGAGGTCGTAGCAGCCTGATCACTGCTTCGCCCGCACCTCGATTGCACATCTTCACCCCCTTTACCCAGCCTTCCATACCCTTCTTGCTCGTGCTCAAAGGCGTCATCGCTTCTCCTTTGGCTCATCCGCGGTCGCGCACCGTTCTTGGTGCTCTGTTCGTTCGCCTTCTCACCGATTGCCACCTCGGCGCTTGACCCCTTGACCACAAACCTGTAACGATACCGTCAGAAATCGAAAGAATCATCATTTAGAGAGGTGATCAAACTTCGTGCTTGCTGGGACCTTTGCGCTGCTGGTCTGCGTGCGTTGAGTCCGACGCTGGACGGGCTACTCATCAGCCCCGCCAGGACGCGTTTGGCGGATGTGCTGCAATCGAGCTGAGGGAACCAGTGTTACAGAAGGCGGTCACTCGTAGCTTCCATTCCGAGCTCTCAGGCACAGAGCATGTGACAAGGCGATGGACATTCTTGACATTCACGGACCGCCATTCACGATTCCATCTGGCGCTCAGGGCGCGGCCAGGCTCGGTGAAGCTCTGGCTGGTCAGGTCCCCTATTGTCGCTCACATCCCATCCAGCCGAATCCGGAGTTTGACGCTGCGCTGTTCTTGGTATGTGAGCGTTGACCAGGACGCTTGTCGACTTTGTACCTTTGCCCGAAGAATGATCAGGCCAGGAGACGAGCAGAACGGCAGCGATGGGCGTGCGTGCGCATCGCACTGGTGGTGAACGAGACGGACGCTTTCTGCCCCGAGGTATCGCACAGCGCGGACCAAGGCACCACGGCACCGCAACATGGTCTACGCATAGATGAAATTGTATCTGGACAAGAGATGCGGTATGGCGGACAATTGTGGACCGTATCTGTGCAGAACAGACATTGTATGTCAGCATCCTGCGCCCAAGCTCAGGCGGGAGAAGCGACGTGGGCTGGTGCGCGCTGACTCACCTCTGAGAGTTGTCGTACAATTCGAACAGAGGCACAGCTAGCAGTTTCATATTCTTGGGAACGCTCAATGTCTCTGTAACGCAAAAAAATGGTCCGGTGTTAGAGGTGAGCATGGGAGAAAATACTTCTCGATGAGCGGATGAATCGCTCAGTGGGGCCACTCACTGGTTGGTGGAATCTGAACGAGAAAGAGCTTCTTGTGCTCCTTGGGTTTGGTGATGTGCGGAGGAACGTAAGGGTACTTGATAGCATTGAAGGGCGCGACAAGTCAGCCAGATGCCTCGAGTA